TACTTTCCGTACCCACTGTATATATATATATATATATATATATATATATATATATATATATATATATATATAAAGAATGAATTTTTGATAAAAAAAATTAATGTGAAATATTTAACTAAAAAATACAAAACAGAATAAAGAAAATACAGCAACACTGAAATAACGAATTACTTCTCCTAGCAGACATTAGCTAATTTTACCTGCCGCTAGCCTCCAAAAACTCACTGCTGTGGAAATTACCATGAATCATGTTTCCATGGTAACGGTGACTTCTTTGATTGTTGCATTTCCTTTCAGGGTTGTGGGTAGTATAAATTTATTGAATTCAGCATGTAAACACTTTTTTTTAAAGAAGTTGAAAATCACACTGACTTACAGTATGGCTTCAATAGAAGCAGGACCTTCAAGATGATAGGACCTTTTATTATGCACCACACAGTACATTCAAGATATCTGGAAACCCTTAACCTTGGCGTTGCTACATTAACTACTACTTGAAATACAGGAACACTAGTTTATACAGTATCTTTTTACTTCTTAACTCTTTATTGCCTTGGTTTTTTCCCCTATATATCCTCTTTTTTCCCTCTTTTTCTTGTCTCCTTGTGTTTTGCAAAAACATGACAGCTGTATCGCACTCTACAGTGTTCCTTCACATACCACATACACTTTGTTCTCACCTTGTTCAGAAAGCCTTTCAGCACACTCGCAGCCTTAACAGACAATGACCTGGGAATCCGTATCGGCTTCTCCAAAATTACTAATAGAGAAAGGGGAAAAAAGGAAGACGGAAGATAAAAGAGTATGAGTCATTCTTGCAGAGTATGGCCGTCGTGTTGTGCGGCGGTGTTAGAGAGAGACAGGCTTTAACTCACACGCACAAAATCTCTCGCTCGTACACCCACACACTACAGATGCCTGAATAAACCCTTCAGTATTCAATCAAACACTCAAAAGATTCCTCCCTGCTCCGTGTTTATTTCTGTAAATTCATAAAATTCTGTTGCGGTGTTAAGTGGATTTAAACACACCACAAAAAGTAAAAAATGTGTCTTTTTAATACGTCTCATCCCTGCATTTTTGGATTTCTTTTACAGCTGCGTATCTCGGGCAACCGTCCAGAAGTAAAGCCTGTTAAATTTCATCTCTCTCAAAGATGGAGTGCAGACCAGCATTTATCTTTCCCCTCTCTGAATGCCACATCCCCGTTTGTTTTCTTTTTCGAATGAAAAGCTAAAGGGATTTAGGTCTTGCTGGGGCTCTGCCCTGCTGCTGTGACGCGGTTTGGATGGCGGCCCGAAAGCGGCTGAAGTGTTGGCTCAGCGGTGGCAGCATCTGCCCTACTCCTGGGTGGGCGGCGGAGTGCCGGCAGGGGGAGGCCATGTAGGGCCGGGGGGAGGTTGGACCGGGATTGCGCTGCAGCATATGGACGAACTGAGGTTTGGATGGGGGGAACGGAGTTCCGGTTGTGGAGAGAGATCCAGGTTCATGTCGTGTGTGTCTGTATGAATGAGAGTGATCCAGGAGCACGCTGGCCTCTCGGCTGGAGCACCAGAGAACAGACAGGGAAGCAGATGACCACACAGTCTCTGCTCTAGAGATGGACGGGAGGTGAGGAAAGGGGGGATGAAAGAATGTCTCATAAAGGAATGACACAAATGCCAGGAAGGGCTCACAACCTTAAATACATATATACTACACAATACTACAAATCTACAATACTGTTCAAAAGAGTTTTTTTTTTCTAAATAAATTAATACTTTTATTCAGCAAAGATGCATTAAATTGATCAAAAGTGACAGTACGGCAATGTATTATGTTACAAGCAAGTTTTTGAACTTCTATTTATCAAAGAATCCTTCAAAATTATCAGTTTTCACAAAAAAATTTAAACAGCACAACTGTTTTTAACACCAATAATAATGAGAAATTATACTTGAGCATCAAATCAGCATATTAGAATGATTTCTGAAGGATCCTGTGACTGAAGACTGGAGTAATGGCTGCTGACAATTCAGTTTTGCCATCACAGGAATAAATTGCATTTTAAAATCAAAATAATAAAATAAAATAAATAAAACAAAACATTTATTTTAAATTGTAATGATATTTCACAATATTACTACTTTACTGTACTTTTGATCAAATAAATGCAGCCTTGGTATACAAAAGGGACTTCTTTCCCCAAACTTTTGAATGATAGTGAATGTGCCATGTTTTGGTATAAGAAACGCGTGTGAACAGTAATAAAAGTAACTGGACCATAACCAGTCTAGATCATAAAATCGAATATCATACACCATATCAAGAGCGATACACCCACAACAGATCATATTAACCCACTGTACCTCAAATAAGAGCACATATCTACACTCTTAAAAATAAAGGTGCTTCACGATGCCATAGAAGAACAAGAGTGAAAAATTTAAGGGGGTCTGAATACTTTCCGTACCCACTGTATAAAGATAAACATTCTCCTAATTAAGTCATGTTCAACACATATACTGTCTTTCAGTTCAGTCACACAAGTTTTAATTAAATCAAACGTGTATGACTGCACAGAAAGACTGATAGCAAATTTCATTCATTTAGTCATTTAGACTTACATTTACATTTAGTCATTTAGCAGACGCTTTTATCCAAAGCACTTACAAATGAGGACAATGGAAGCAATCAAAACCAACAAAAGAGCAATAATATGCAAGTGCTATATTAGTAT